ATCAATCTGCTTTGAAATGTCTGAAACTTCTAAGGAACCAAAGTTTACTTTGAGACTTGTGGTTGATGAAGAGAAAAAGAAGGTCGTTTTAGCTGAGGCTTGTCCGGATTTTGTTGATGTACTCTTCAGCTTTCTGACATTACCAGTGGGCACCATTGTCAGATTGCTTGAAGAGCATCGAAAATCTGAGATGACAAGTGTTGGTTGTTTTAGCAACCTTTATAAAAGTGTTGGGGATATGGGCATTGATAATTTCCAGACTGAAGCCTGTAAGCAGATGCTCCTTTATCCGAGGAGTGTGAGGGATGTCCACTGCAAAAGGCTTAAGCTCAACTTACACCCTACTGAGGGTGACAAGTACTTTGAGTGTGAGCTGTAAAATGTGCAGTAATTTTAGCACTTTTGTCGATGTCAATGTGGAATGTTGATGAACGAGGAGTTTCAGTTATCGGAAGAAAATGTTGAAGACAAGAAGCAAAACGATGCGAATGGAGTATTTATCAAGGGCAGGTCTTCATTCATCATAACCGATGACTTGCAAGTTGCAGTCAGGTCCACTGATCTCGTCTTGAAAAAACTCAAATCTCAAGGCTGTGGTGATTTTAGTAAGGCTTGTTGACATAGGTTTGGAAGAGGTATTTTACTCTGCTCTTCATGTTTTTGTCTTACTTGAATAAACAAGCTTTTATCTCACTATGTCTTATTCTTTACCTAGGTCATGACTCTGCTGCAATGTATCTTCTCCTCAAATGCTCACATTCTTGAACAAGCAAAGCCCACAAGAAAAAACGCTAGGTCCATTTATGGAGAGCAAAAGAGTTGAATCCGAAGCTGAACCAGAAGAAGTAATAACTTTGAGTGTGCTCTTGAGGAATCTGTATTGGAAATCTCTGGAAACATGTCCACTTATGGATGCATTGGAAACTTGTTAGGATGCTTCAAGGACTTGAGTGCTACACAAGTTTCAACATTCAAATCCATACTCCCCCATTACTATAGATGTAAGAAGCAGTTGCTTAATATCATCACTGAGCAACCTCGGAAGTTGAAGTTTGCCGATAGTGGGGAACCTGTGGTTTTGATTGATCCGAAATCTCATGGAAACGATCAATCAACAGAAGATAAAGGGTTCGTTAAGAGAGACACAAAGTTCACAGTAACAGATGATCTGATCATTACACCAATGAACTCTAGCTCAGCCTTTTGCTTACTAAAGAAGTTGCAGAATCAAGCAGATGATCTAGAGGTGCAAGAGATACGCATCACCAAAACAGAGTTATAATTGTAATTGTATCTATCTCTTAGAAACGACTCTGATATGGTTTTTTTTTGTAATCAGGCTACTAGTTTGTTGAGAGCTTCCCTGGTGACATCATCTGCATTGAACACTGCTTTGTGGAACTTGATCGCGAAGAAGCCATAGGAGGAAATTTGAAGAAACGCAGAGCTGGGAGAGATTCTAGCAAACCCTCATTGTCTATCGTTCTTACTTTGATCTATTTTCTACATTCTTTCTTAAGACGACACAAGTGTTTTAGTATCTTGTTCCTTATGTATCAAGAGCTACTTGTTTTCAATTTCTTTCCTGTGTTCTAGAAATGTTTCATTTCTGTGTTGTTTAAATGGGTTTGTAGCTTCATTTTGATGATTTCAATCCCTAATTCCTATTCGAAATATATATATAGCTTCTTTAGTGGAAGATTGAGAATTGAGAAGCAATGTTCAAACCAAAAACTTCAAGTTGTTGCTAAACTTGATCGCTAGAGAACCTTTCCATTAGTACAGTGAATGTTTCTGTAGTTTCTTGGATAAATCCAACAAGCTAGGGGATTGTTATCTTTTTGTCTAGTGGTTCGTTTTAGACAGGGTCTTTATTCGAAACTTACAAAGCTAGGGGATTAATTGTTTTTAAGAATATCAGAAAACCCTTGTGGCCAAACTTGGTGAAAAAAATCCATGATTTTTCTGAGTTTCCTAATTATAAACCATAATTTCCTTTTTTATTGCCATGAGTTTTAGGGGTTTTTAGGTTCCCCATTCCCCAACATATATAAACCCTATTAACACTTTTCTTCTTCTTCTAGGCTTCGACAATTTTTTTTCCTGTGGAGAACCTAAGGTTAATTGAGGTGCAAGAAATATGCATCACCAAAACAGAGGTAATTCTATGTACCCATTTATCAAGTAGAAACGTTTAACGATTATCCCAAATAAAAATTTATCATTTGTTTTTTTTTGGTTCTGTAATTAGGCTACAAGTCTATTGAGAGCTTCCTTGGTTACATCTTCTGCATTGAACACTTGTTTAAAAACTTTTTTTTTTGTTTTCTTAATCCGGAGGTTCCGGGCCTTCAGCCCATAATCCCCCTTTGGCCCAGCATCCTTTACGCGCATATTTCAGTGGGGTG